ACAAAATTAAATCAATAAGAAAAAGATAAATATAAAACATACATCTCCGCGCTCTCTTAGTAATGTGAGTATTTCATCTTTAACTTTCTTATAACCATTTTCCAATGCTTTCATTTTATTATTAACAGGGAGATCAGCCGCACTGAAAGATGCAATAAAGTAAAAAAATTAATTATATGCTCTATATCATTAAGTATTTTTTTACCTAGCATTTTCTATTTGTGCATCTGTATTTTGACATAATGTTAATATATCTCGTTCGCGTTCCGTAAATCGAATAAATAGTTTTGAATAATTTTCAATCACGCGATTATCTATTTATATATATGCAAAAAATCAAAAATAACTTTTGCAAAAGTCTCCAGTTTATATTGAACGGTTTCCCAATATACTAGAGAATTATGATTTTGAAAAACTACTTTTTTATCTCATAGTAAAACAAAAATCTTTCTAATGTAATTAGTGATTATTATTACAGAAGAATGCTTTCAATTTCTGACTGAAATAAATATAAAGAAAAACCTACAATGCTTAACAATTTCTTCATAAACATTACGTTCTTGTCTGTTACGTTCTTGTAGTTGATTAAGTATTGTTTGTTTCCACTCCATAACGAGTTTATATCTATCAAAAGAAAATAGATGATATGTAAAAAGCATAATCAAAGAAATAAATAATGATTAATATTTGTAATGTACATGGATGAGATTTAGTAAAACATGGTTTTGATCATCCGGAACAATGCAAAGCAAACATTTATTGAAAAAAATCATCGCAATAAAATACAAGAGAAATAAATAGTTAATGGTGATTGAGTCCAAAGAATCGCTTGACCATGTTTTTCACAAGAAACAACATATTTTCCATCAGATTACCAAGTGACTGACGTGACCATTGTACTAGAGAAAAACCAATTTTCATTAGAGAAAAAAACTATTGTTTTTTTTTCATCCGTAGGTTTGTTTTCGTGTTAGAACATTTTGTCTAAATCGACTAGTTCGAAAAGATGTTTATAATGTTACATTATTCTAATTATCATGCTATTATCTATTTAAACAAAATTTTATTATTTTTGCTTTGTTGGATAAAATATATTTCAAAACTAGAGACTTAAGGCCCCCTCCCCCACTTAGAAAACCTAATTTTTCGAAAAAAGATCGAAATTGAGTTTTTTACATAGAAAGATACGCCGAAGCTCCCTCTTTCCGAATATAGGTAGCTTTTTGCAAAACGACCAGATTTTCATGGACTTATCGATAAAAAACTGCCCCCCCCTACTATCATGTTTTACGAAAATTTTTCAAATTTTTTTCAGTTTCGAAAAGACTGCGTTGCCACTTGGAGCAGCATTGAATAGAATACTTTTATAGTGACCACTAAGCACATACCAACGCTCAAGATAAGGATTATATATTTATATTTTATCCTCAACACTGAATATTTATAGTTCAAGTACATTACACGGGAATGTATTCATAAAAACCTAAAGTTTTTTTAAGAATGCAGTTTTTTAACCTGTTCCAAAGTATTTCGTTAATCTAATATTAATGAATTTTACTGCTGTTCTTTTTATAGAAGTTATATCACATGTCGTAAAATCGCTGAAAAATTGCTGATTAATCGCGATATATCGAAACGATAATCGTGAGCTGAAACGCGATTAATCGCAGATTTTTAATGATATTTTTAGCGATTATTACGATAAATCGCGATTTATTCCCCGGTTATTTTAAACATTATCCATTGCTTTATCGCCAATTTGATATGATATTATCGCAATTTCAAAGATATTTTATTTATTTTTAATAAATTGCTTCGATTTTTTCAATTAACTTTTATTTTAAAAAATATCTATTGCTTTCACCACACCTGACGGTAAAGTTAATAAAGGATATAAAGAAAAAAAAATACAGTAATTGATTATTCGATTTTCATAAATTTTTCTTATGAATTTTGACAAAGAAAATGCAAAACTGTTAGAATTTACACATAACAGCATGCCTGTAAGAAAAAAATACATCTAAAAGTTATAGATAACTATTAAAAAACTGAATTGTAACATACCATAGCGTTAGACCTAAGTTGGTTCGATTAAACATAAAACATTATAGTAAAAAAATCATATTTAGGTAAACTGGAATCATGAGATAAATTAAATAAGTCGTCATCCTAATCACCATCCGATATGTATGTATTTGTAACACAAATTAAAGTAA